CCTGACTCATCTTGTTTCCAGCTCGTGTGCCCGTGGCTGTACTATATTGCCAGACATGTCAGGGGAACAGCGCCAGCTGTGCCAGCACCAACCTGACCACAATCCAGTGTGCTGGGGTGCAGGACCGATGTATAACCCTCTCCACCGTCTATAACAATGGTGAGATCCATGGCAGGATATACATGTGTCCTATGTGTGTATATTTCCCATACAGACATATTTATAACACGATTTCCTGTCTCTGCAGTTTCCAGCTCAGATGTAGTGATCAAAGGCTGCGGAACTGGAAATCTCTGCGGACGACGACTGCATTATAACACCGGAGGGGTAAAAGTCTATTCGGAGATGTCATGCTGCGGGTACAACAAGTGCAACCAGGGTGTAAATACAGGTAAACTCAGCGCTAAACTCTCTGATTTAATAAAGGGGGATAGACTGTTCACTTAGCAACGTTTTCTTAGTAATTAAGGCGAAAGTTAATCCCTGGTGCCCAACACCACTGGCTTTCCTTGTGCGGCCTGCTGGCTCTCTGTGTGCAGCCTGCTGGCGCTCTGTATGTGGCCCGCTGGCTCTCTTTGTGTGGCCTACTGGCTCTCTGTGTGCGGTTCGCCGGCTCTATGTGTGCGACCCACCATGTCCTGAGCTGGGTCAGTCACCTGAAGGCACCAAGTAGAGCGGCAGTGGAGTGCCAGGCACTGAAACACTCTGCATTTCAGCAATCAACACTGAAATAAAGCCAGTATTGTGAGGCGGCCTCATTGTGCAAGTATAGTCCCGGCCTCATTGTGGAGAGAGAGAGAGATCGGCATGAGAGTGTGTGATCAGGTACATATCACTGACCACCAATGATGGGGGTTTCATTTCACTGCCTTTGCACTGTGTTTGTAACAAAAACACTTCTACTGACCACCAATGAGGAAGGTGTAAATTGCACTGCTACTGACCACCAATATGGGGTGGATTATTAGTACTGTCACTGACAGCAATGAAGGGTATTATTATTGCGGAAACTGACACCAATGCTGGGGGTTATGATTGTGTACACTGACAACAATGCTAGGGGTATTATTGTGGTCACTGGCACCAATGTTAGGGGTTGTTATTGTGTCTACTAACACCAGAGTTTGGGGATTTATATTGTGGTCACTGGCACCAATGCTGGGGTAATATTTTTTTGATCAGTGACACCACTGTTGGGGGTTTTATTGTGGTCACTGGCACCAATGTTGGGAGTTATTATGGTGTCTACTAACACCAGTGTTGGGGGTTTTATATAGTGACCACTGACACCAATGCTGGGGGTATAGTTTTTTGGTCAGTGACACCAATGTTGGGGGTTTTATATTGTGACCACTGACACCAATGATGATCCTACTTTCTCTGCACTGTGCATTTCAGTACATTGCAAAAAAATGCAGCAAAATGTCCAGGCATTAAAGTGAGCTAGAGCCCATGCGTTTCAAAATGGACTGCCCAACTCAATGTAATGCACCTCACATGAAAACACGCTGATGCTGCTATTGGAGAGCTGGTTATCGCTAGACTATAATAGATAAAACTTAAGTGTCAGGGCTAGGCTAAGGGTTAAGTGTTAGGCATAGTGTTAATTTAGGGGTTAGGTTCAGTTATAGGTGAAGGGTTATGTTTATGGGGTAGTCTAAAGACCCAGTTAAGGTTAGGTGTCAGTGGGGTGGAGGAGACACATTTTTACACTTGTTTATGGTGCATGAGAACCTGTATGGGTTCTGTTGCTTCTGTCTCGGTGCATAAAATAAAATGACTACTTGATTGTTTGCCTCCACCAGTGACAGTGAACACACTAGTGAACACAACTCTGAATGGTCTGCAGTGCTATGCATGCAATGAGACGGGCAAAGGAGAATGCACTACACCGACCACCGTCTCGTGCACAGGGAGCATGACCTCATGCCTGGATGTATTAGGTAATGTTGCATCAAATCTTCACTTCTGGTTTCATGTTTTCCTATGAAGAGAGGGAGATGCTCATGTCTATCAGCAACTTCAGATGTTGTTCCTCACAGTTCTAAGCGGGTGCTCTGCTGTGAATATATCCACATCATCAGATTTCAGTTTTCTGTAGAAAAAAAAGAAAGAAATGGGAATCTAATTGCTTGGTATGGAATGCTAAACATTGCTCTTTCCTTAACCTGTTCCTGTAGATGAATGTTCCCAGACATGGTGCCCCATACTGAGTAAACCTTAATCTGCCTTCTATTTCAGAAGTTTTTATGTTCCAATCAGCATGGTTTCCGATTATGTGATCACTATGACAACCAATCATGGTTATCACATTTGGCTTGTTTATGAGAAAACCTGCCAATGCCAGCTGTCACTGTGCCTGGCATGGGGAATTGTGCCATTCAGACAAGAACAGAATGGTGTAATTTAGGTTCTGTTATCAAGGCATGTATCAGAATGGCATCATTTAAGCAATGGTACTAAGCAACAGAATGGTGTCAATTAGGCTCTGGGACCAAGGCATGGATCACAATGGTGTTATTCAGGTTCTAGTACCAAGGCATGGATCAGAATGGCATCAATCAGGTAATGGTCCAAGACATGGATCAGAATGCCATCACTCTGACTTTGGTACAAAGACATGAATCAGAATGCCATCATTCAGGCATTGGTACCAAGACATGGATCTGAATGGCACAATTCAGGTACTGGTACCAAGACATAGATCAAAAAAGCACCATTCAGGTACTGGGACAGAGACATCATTTAGAATGGCATAATTCAGGTGCTGGTACCCAGCATGGATCAGAATGGCATCATTCAGGTACTGGTACCCAAGACATGGATCAGAATGGTGTCATTCAGGTACTAGTACCAAAGACATGGATCAAAATGGTGTACCCTATGTTTTGGTACCCAAAACATGGATCAGAATGGTGTCATTCAGGTACTGGTACCTAAGACATGAATCAAAATGGTGTCTTTCAGATACTGATACCCAAACCATGGATCAGAATGGTGTCATTCAGGTACTGGTACCAAAGACATGGATCAGAATGGTGTCATTTAGGCACTGGCATTAAAGACATAGATCAGAATGGTGTCATTCAGGTACTGGTACCCAAGGTATGGATCAGAATGGTGTCATTTAGGCACTGATAACCAAACAATGAATCTGAATGGTGTCATTCAGGTACTGGTACTGAAGACTTGGATCAGAATGGTGTCATTTCGAGCACTGGTACACAAGACATGAATTAGAATGTTGTCATTTAGGCACCGGTACCCAAGTCAGTGATCAGAATGGTGTCATTCAGGTACTGGTACTGAAGACTTGGATCAGAATGGTGTCATTTTCGGCACTGGTACACAAGACATGGATTAGAATGTTGTCATTTAGGCACCGGTACCCAAGTCAGTGATCAGAATGGTGTCATTCAGGTACGGGTACCTAAAACATAGATCAAAATGGTGCACTCAAGGTATTGGTAAACAAGACATGGATCAGAATGGTGTCTTTCAGGTACTGGTACCCAAGACATGGATCAGAACAGTGTAATTTAGGCAAAGGTAATATGACCAGGGAACATCAGAGGCTCACCCCAGCCCGGAGCTCTATGCTGACTAATACATGACAAAAGCCACCAATTATATACTCACTTCTAGAAAACACTTTTATAAACGATGACAGAGAATGGACTCTTATCTACAATAATTCTTTTGATAGTTTCACCTATTCTGTGTGTTTTTTCCCAGGCTATCCCCGGGGGAACACTCTGATGCGTGGCTGCTGCTCCACAGACGTGTGTTATGGCCTATCAGCTTCCATGTCCCTCCAGGCCAGCCAGAAGTTGTACTGCTGCAATGGCAACCTGTGTAACAATGGAAAGATCACATCATATTTCTCATCTGGAACAACCATGGCACGCGGCAGGGTCTACATCATAGCCGGCGCTTTGTTGGTGCTTGTGGAACTTCTACGGACGTTACTTTAAACAACCGTCAAGATGATGGAGGCCAAGTTGTTAATCAAAATGTCTAAAGATGGCCTAACTTTTATAACAGCACAAATGTGTAGAAAGCAATTGGTTGGGCTGGTACTAAAAGCTGATTCCTGATTGGTTGCCTACATTTACATTAAGAACTGCCACACTCAGTGGTGGATTGTGTTTGAAGGAAAAACTTTTCTTTCTTTAGAGGTTCCTATTTATTTTTTTCTGGAACCCCCTCTTAAAGTTTCTGTCAAGTGCTGAAAGAGAACTAGTCAGGAGTAGGCATTTGTAAGAATCTAAAGTTCTACTTTTAAAGTGGAACTCCAAGTTTAATTATTTATTCATTTTTGGGTCCACATCCCCTATTAAAAAGCATGCCTAAGACTTAAATGTCCTCTCCATGCTCCTGTGATGTCCCCAGCTTCATTCTGAGTCCAGTGCCACCGGTCTTCTTTGGGCAGAATAACTTTTGTGCCATTCTGCCCATTTTCTTTGGGCCCAGCCTGTCACTGAAACACCCCATGGGCTAACAATACTCCAGGACTCAGCGGTGCTCACATGCTATTATGCGAGTGCTGCTTAGTCCAGCAAAACTACTTACCCCCCATCTCCCCCCCAAGGAGAGGAAACTCCTGTGATGACACCGGGCCAGCTAGAAGACTGCAGGAAATTAGTATGTATAGGTTTATCTTGATAAAGGCCCAGGGGGCATTTGGTGATAGAGGTGGGGAAGTGGGCCCTTTTAATCAGGGTCGGTGCAAGACTATTTTGCACCCTAGGCATGACCAGGTACTTGCACCCCCCAGTCCCCTTCCTGCAGCGCAACCCACAATCCCTCCATCTAGTGGCCCCATTCTCCTGCCGGCTAGCTTCTGCAGGCGACAGGTGGATGTAAGCAGTTGGGAGCAGTAGTCGGACTGCTATTGGCTATTTTAATTTGAAATAGCCAATAGCAGACTGGCTATTGAAACCCCACCCACTGAGCAGAAGAGCGGACCTGAGAGAGAACGATGTCTCTCAGTTCCACTCCTCTGCTCAGTGGACTGGTGCAATGGCCAGCCTGCTATTGGCTTTTGCAATTTGAAATGGGGGGGGGGAGTGCAGCCTTCTATTCCTAGAAGGCTGCTTTGTTATTCTAGTGCAGCCTTCTAGGAATAGCTGTGTGTGCTGTTATTTAGTATTTTCTCCCTGTCTTAGCAGACAACGTCTGCCAGGTATCAGGCTGTATGACTGCTACGAAGGCTGACCTGTCTCCTTTTCAAGTATGTAAATAAACTGAAGGTTTGCCTGTCCCAGCAGAAAAGGTCTGGCAGGTTTCAAGCTGCAAGACTGCAAAGGCCGACCTGTCTCCTGCCTGAGATCAGAGCTGATAATTGACATTCTCTCTGGGCCCCCCTACCAGCCAACCCCCCCAAGATCACTTGTACAAAACAAGCGGCGGCTTCCCCGCTTTACATTTAGCTCTGCTTGCCAAAAGCAGGGCTAAATGTAGAAAACAAACTACGCGCCCGGCGCCCAGAACTGCATGTCCCGGGCATCGGGAGATAGGAATTCCACACCACTTCTGCCCTTCTACTCCCTGCTGCTCCGAGGCCAAGCATTGGTGGCCTTGTGGGAAATCCGGCCCTGCAAGTAAGTAATTCGAAAACAAGCCATTCCCTGATAAGTAAAAAATAAATAAAACGGACACAATTTATGGGTTACCTCAGCATGGTCTCAGACCAGGCCCAGGTAACCCTTTGATTTCTAACAGCAACATACTTAATTGCAAACAGGCAATTAATTTGTGGATGAGCCCCTGGAAAGTAAGGCTGCACTGTTGCATATATTCAGTACTGGAGATTCAAATTTTTACAGATGCCCATTTGTGACTGGTTCTCTTGAAGGTTATATAGGCTCATTTAAACCTAGCCATTGGCCTGTACCCACAGCTATCTTACTATGGGATACCAGCCTGTATGCCCGGGGTGTCAAGCACTTATTTTTTTGGTCCATACAATTTAAAAGACACCCCCAAAAAAATCATCAATTATGTTAATTTCATTAAAATTAGACCAATGCATGACAAAACTCAAACTTCATCAACTGGCCCATCTCTAGGCTGAGCCTATAAAGGTCCTATATGGACTAAACCGTCCTCAATAAGGGTCTTATTGTGCTAATGTAAGGGAGGATTCACCGATCATTCACCAAACTGTTTTTTTTTTCAAGTATGTAAATAAATTAAATGTTTATCTCGAATCTGTTCATTTATGTTATTAGAAATAATAAATTCATTGTGCAAGTTGATTTGATAATAGAAAAGAAAAACCTCTTGCATATGGCTTTGTTTCTGGAGGCGATGCAGTAGTGTAGTATGGGATTTTTGGGCACATACACGTACTTCATCTGCCTGTTAGCTACGTCCTGTGTGAGTCAGACCGTCCCTCATACTTGTCAAATCTAAAAATAATGAAAAGCTTGTGACAAGTTACTTGATAAAGTTGCCTGGAAGGGTTTGGCTTATTCAGAACATTTCTGGTTTCCCCTGCGTGTTTTTCAGTCATGTGACCGTGTTTTGTGTCTAAAAATACTCTGGACTTATATATAGCTCAGAATTTAAAGAATATATTGCAAAATCAAAGGTCAGATCATTGTTAAAAGCTTTATGGGTGAACTATTTACCATTTAAAAGCAGAACTCTGTTTTAAAGGGTTAACCCACCAAAAAGTAATATCACAGCTACCGTGTTTCCCCGAAATAGCCAATAGCAGACTGGCTATTGAAACCCCACCCACTGAGCAGAAGAGCGGACCTGAGAGAGACACTGTCTTATATTTCTTTTGGCTCAAAAAACACACTAGGTCTTATTTTCGGGGTAGGTCTTATTATTTTCTTTTATGTACAACAATCCACACTTATTCATGTAGAAAAGTCTACATGTATTCATGTACAAAAATATGGTGATCAGGGCAATCAGGGGTGCCGTACCTTTCCAAGAGCAATTATTATTTAAGACCTCACTATGTTAACTTTAATAACCTAGCCTCTACTATGACATTATAATATTTACTGTGTCATCACAATACCTACAAAGACATAATTTATTGACTCTGAGATCACAACAATGCCTGAGATTACAATGCTAAGTATGACCAGGCCCGGGATCCCCACAAGGCCACCGAGGCCAGGCCTCGGGGCGGCAGGGATATAAGAAAAAAATTATAAAAAAAATAAACAATAATAAGATAAACAAAATATTTAAAAAAGTAAACGATAAGCTAAAAATGTAAAAGGATAAAAAAATAAATAAATAAAAAGTGATAAAAAAGTAAAACAAAAATAAATAAACAATAAAAAAAATAAAACTAACCGTGCCGCCCCTGCCATCCGGTTGCCATTCTCCGTTGATGGCGGGGAGGGGGGCGCATTGCAGAACCTGGCCTTGGGGCAGCAGGGAGAGTAAATCTGGCCCTGAGTATGACAACACAGAATTCTTTATGACATAAGGAACTTAACTTCAGGAAGGGACAAGACTTATGACCCAACCAGGCCGGCACTACCGCAAGGCAAGTCAGGCGGCCGCCTAAGGGCGCTGCAGGGTGAGGGAGGAAAAAACAGGGCATTTTGACAAGTACTTGTACTTGTCAAAATGCCCCGATGTTTGCACTATTTTTTTTTTTTCACTTACCTTCGGTGCGGGAGAGAGCAGCGGCGAGTCAGTGCCGGACCCAACCTTGCTAAATCGCCCCAGATCAGCCCTCTGGTGAAAAGAGACATTCTGAAAGAATTAGGACCTTTGTGTACATGCAAATACCTAGCACAGTTCTTTATTCTATAGTCAAAAATAAACATAATTATTTTGTTTCTTCCTGATTACATTCCTATCAAATCTGTCGGCCACCAAACGTCTACAGCCTATAACGTTCGAAAGGAAGGCAAAAAATTTTCATGTGGGACTTTTTTTTTTTAACGTCACCAGCCTCGGTTCCTCTCCTGTTAACGTCTATGAAGACAATGGCCCTCCTGGTTAGACTGGGTTTTTTTATTCTCAAGTCGAGCCATGGATCAACAACTTTACGTGTGTTCTGGATACTTCAACAACAAAAGTCTGTACATGGTATGTGGAACCATATTGCAGGTGTGTCTGAGCCCTTTACTGGGATTTTGTGACTCAGTGTTAGGCAGAGGGATATGAATAATTATATATGACACAGTGCAGAGATACATTTTATATTTCTTACAAAAAAGGTTGACTTTATTTCTTTAATTGATCTTCTTGTAAACATTGTATACGCATAAAATAATATGCCAAAGCCTCTATTAGCCACTATGGCTCCCATGCTGGACTGCTAATTGGCAGATACAGGGCTTAGCTCCCGGAGAGCAGAGCTTAGCTCCAAAAAGGCAGGGCTTAGCTGCTGGAGGGCAAGGCTTAGCTCCAAGAAGGCAGGGCTTACCTACTGGAGGGCAAGACTTAGCTCCAGGAGGGCAAGACTTAGCTCCAAGAAGGCAGGACTTAGCTACTGGGGAGCAAGGCTTAGCTCCAGGAGGGCAAGACTTAGCTCCATGAAAGAAGTGCTTAGCTACTAGAGGGCAAGACTTAGCTCCTGGAGGACAGGGCTTAACTAATAGAGGGCAAGACTTAGTTAATGGAGAGCAGGGCTTAGCTACTCGAGGGCAACCCTTAGCTACTGGAGGGCAAGGCTTAGATCAAGGAGGGCAAGGCTTAGCTCCAAGAAGGCAGGGTTTAGCTACTGGAGGGCATGGCTTTGCTCCATGAATGCAGGGATTAGCTACTAGAGGACAAAACTTAGCTCCTGGAGGACAGTGCTTAGCTAACTGAGGGTAACCATCAGCTACTGAAGGGCAAGGCTTAGCTCCAGGAGGGCAAGGCTTAGCTCCAGGAAGGCAGGGCTTAGCTCCTGGAGGGCAAGGCTTAGCTCCAAGAAGGCAGGGTTTAGCTACTGGAGGGCATGGCTTTGCTCCAAGAAGGCAGGGCTTAGCTACTGGAGGGCAAAGCT